TCGCAAGCAACTTTCCGATGAGAAGGTCATTGAGAACTACAAGGCTTCTTGCGATGGCGGCATCCTGAAAGTCATGAGTAAGATGGGTATCTCTACCCTGCAATCATACAAGGGTGCTCAAATCTTCGAGGCTCTTGGTATTGATGACAGCGTCATTGACCGATGCTTCGCTGGAACTGCGAGCCGTATCCGTGGATTGACTTTTGAGCTGATCGCTCAGGATGCATATGCCTTCCACGAACGCGGTTACCCATCTCGCTCCATCATTGAAATTCCCGGTCTTCCTGAATCGGGCGAGTACCACTGGCGTGATGGAGGTGAGGCGCACATCAACGATCCCGTCAGCATCGCCAATGTCCAAGATGCTGTCCGCACCAAGAATGACAAGTCTTACGAGGCTTATGCCAAGGCCGCGCATGAGCAGATCAAGAACTGCACTCTGCGTGGTATGCTTGAGTTCGATTTCGAGCAACGGAGCCCCATTCCTATCGACCAGGTTGAGCCTTGGACTGAAATCGTCCGTCGTTTTGTGACAGGTGCCATGTCGTACGGATCTATCTCCATGGAATCTCACTCCACATTGGCCATTGCCATGAACCGTCTTGGTGGTAAATCCAATACCGGTGAAGGTGGTGAAGACCCTGAGCGTAGCAAGCGACTGGAGAATGGTGACACCATGCGGTCTGCCATCAAGCAAATTGCCTCCGGCCGTTTCGGTGTGACTTCCCACTACCTCGCTGATGCCGATGAGCTGCAGATCAAGATGGCCCAGGGCGCTAAGCCTGGAGAAGGTGGTGAGCTGCCCGGCCACAAGGTCGTCGGTCCCATTGCCCACACTCGTTACTCCACTCCCGGTGTCGGTCTTATCTCGCCTCCACCTCACCACGACATTTACTCAATTGAGGATCTGAAGCAGCTTATCTATGATCTCAAGTGCTCCAATCCTCGGTCCCGTGTTTCCGTGAAACTGGTGTCTGAGGTTGGTGTCGGTATCGTAGCCTCCGGTGTCGCCAAGGCCAAGGCTGATCATATTCTGATCTCTGGTCACGATGGTGGTACTGGTGCTTCTCGCTGGACTGGTATCAAGTACGCTGGTCTCCCATGGGAACTGGGTCTCGCCGAGACCCATCAGACCCTGGTCCTCAATGATCTGCGTGGTCGTGTTGTGGTTCAAACTGACGGTCAAATTCGCACCGGTCGTGATATCGCGATCGCCTGTTTGCTGGGTGCCGAAGAATTCGGTTTCGCCACAACTCCCTTGATCGCTCTTGGTTGCATCATGATGCGGGTGAGTCTACCCTCTTGATGCTCCTTATTGTTTGTCTCGCTAACCTTTTTTGCTCTTGTTAGAAATGCCATCTGAATACTTGTCCTGTTGGTATCGCAACCCAGGATCCCGAACTCCGCAAAAAGTTTAAGGGTACACCCGAGCACGTGATCAACTTCTTCTACTACGTGGCTAATGAGATGCGTGCTATCATGGCCAAGCTGGGCATTCGCACGGTCAACGAGATGGTTGGACGTGCTGAGTTGCTCAAGGTCAGGGAGGACATTCGCACTGCTAAGCAGGAGAGAATTGACCTCTCCCTCATTCTGACTCCCGCTCACTCTCTTCGTCCCGGCGTGGCTACTTACAATGTCCGCAAGCAAGATCACCGTCTGCACACCCGCCTTGACAACAAGCTGATTGCGGAGTCCGAGTTGGCTCTGGAGAAGGGATTGCCTTGCAGAATTGAGTGTGATATTGTCAACACTGACCGTGCCCTGGGCGCTACTCTGTCTTACCAGGTCAGTCGCCGCTATGGTGGAGCCGGCCTTCCTCAAGACACTATTCACGCCAACATCAAGGGCTCTGCTGGTCAGTCCTTTGGTGCTTTCCTTGCTCCTGGTATTACTCTCGAACTTGAGGGTGACGCCAACGATTATGTGGGCAAGGGTCTTTCTGGCGGTCGTCTCATTGTCTATCCGCCTCGCGGTGCTGCCTACAAGGCCGAGGAGAACATCATTATCGGCAACACTTGTCTTTACGGTGCTACCCGGGGTACCTGCTACTTCCGTGGTGTCGCCGCTGAACGTTTTGCTGTTCGTAACTCCGGTGCTACTGCTGTCGTTGAAGGTGTTGGTGACCATGGTTGTGAGTACATGACTGGTGGTCGTGTGCTCATTCTTGGCTCGACCGGTCGTAACTTCGCTGCTGGTATGTCCGGTGGTATCGCCTATGTCTTGGACATGAACCAGGATTTCCTCTCCAAGATTAATATGGAGATGGTCGAAGTTTCGGGCCTGGAAGACCCTGCTGAGATCGCCTTTGTTCGCGGTTTGATCGAGGACCACCACCATTACACTGGCTCAGAACTGGCCGCTCGTATCCTTCTGGACTTCACCCGTGCTCTTCCCCACTTTGTCAAGGTGTTGCCTACTGACTACAAGCGCATTCTGGCCGAGGAAGCTGCCAAGGCCGCTGCTGCTAAGAAGGCCGAATTCACTATCCCCCAGCTTCCCAGCACTCCTGCCGAAAAGCCCAAGCCCAAGACGGAAGGAGAGGACAAGAAGGCCGAGATGCTGGACATTGAAGACAGTGTGAGCGACTCGAAGACTGAGAAGAAGAGGTCCGCTTTGATTCTTGACAAGACGAGGGGTTTCATGAAGTACAGCCGGCGCAGCGAGAAATACCGCAACCCGGCTACTCGTACCCGGGACTGGGCCGAGCTGTCGAGCCGTCTCAGTGAGGATGAGCTCAAGTACCAGTCCGCTCGTTGCATGGACTGTGGTGTCCCCTTCTGCCAATCTGACACTGGTTGCCCCATTTCCAACATCATTCCTAAGTGGAACGAGCTTGTTTTCCAGAACCAATGGCAGGATGCTCTCAACCGCCTGCTCATGACCAACAACTTCCCGGAATTTACTGGTCGTGTCTGTCCTGCCCCTTGCGAAGGCGCCTGTGTGTTGGGCATCAACGAAGACCCAGTGGGCATTAAATCTATCGAATGTGCCATCATCGACCGTGGCTTTGAGATGGGCTGGATGGTCCCTCGCCCTCCCAAGACGCGCACCGGCAAGACTGTCGCTGTTATTGGATCCGGGCCCGCCGGTCTCGCCGCTGCAGACCAGCTTAACCGTGCTGGGCACAGCGTCACTGTCTACGAGCGTGCTGACCGTATTGGTGGTCTGCTGATGTACGGTATCCCCAACATGAAGCTTGACAAGAAGATCGTACAACGTCGTGTCGATCTCATGGCTGCCGAGGGCGTCAAGTTCGTCACCAACACTGCCGTTGGCCCTGACAGCGAGGTGTCCTTGAACTCGCTGCGCCAGAGCAATGACGCTGTTATCATCGCCACTGGTGCCACTGTTGCCCGCGATCTGAAGGTCCCTGGCCGTGAGCTGGACGGTGTGCATTTTGCCATGCAGTTCCTGCACCGCAACACCAAGTCTCTTCTCGATTCGGGTCTTTCTGACGGCGAGTACATCTCTGCCAAGGACAAGCACGTTGTTGTCATTGGTGGTGGTGACACCGGTAACGACTGCATTGGTACCTCTGTTCGACATGGTGCCAAGTCTGTTGTTAACTTCGAGTTGCTGCCCCAGCCCCCTCCAGAGCGTGCCCGTGACAACCCGTGGCCCCAGTGGCCCCGTATTTACCGGGTTGACTACGGTCACTCCGAGGTCAAGACCCACATGGGCAAGGATCCTCGCGAGTACTGTGTCATGTCTACTGAATTTGTCGACGACGGTAACGGTCACGTAAGGGGTATCAACACAGTCCGTGTCGAATGGACCAAGAGCGCCTCGGGCGGATGGGATATGAAGACTATTGAGGGTAGCGAACAGTTCTTCCCTGCAGATCTTGTTCTCCTTTCTATGGGTTTCCTTGGTCCTGAAGACCGCCTTCTGGGCGATGAAATTGAGCGCGATGCCCGTAAGAACGTCAAGACGCCTCCAGGTCACTATTCAACCAGTGTTTCCGGCGTCTTTGCTGCTGGTGACTGCCGCCGTGGACAGTCCCTCATTGTTTGGTAAGTCTACAATGCGAAAATTGACTCATGGCTGGGTAAACCAATGGATCGTAACTAACACTGTCATCTAGGGGTATCAACGAAGGCCGTCAATGTGCTCGTGAAGTTGACAGCTTCCTGACGGGCACCAGCTCTCAGCTTCCTGTGACTGGTGGTATCGTACGCCGGCCAGCCATTGACATGGTTCCACAGACAAGCGAGACCACTGTTGTCGCCTAGACGATTGTGACCTTGCAACCTCCGGGGCTGTGACATTATTTCTATGATGATAACGATTCAAGATATCTTCCGTTTGTTGAAAAGTTTGTTGATCGATCCCAAATCTAGTACAGGGTGGTCAATTGTATCTACCATGATAGGCGCATCATGATTACATGGATGTGACAGGGGAGGCTCACTGACTCTTTTCATCTCGCGCTCTTCACTTTCTGATTATTCTTCGGAAAAAAGGCGAGTTTGCTTTTGGTTGCAGCGTCGTTTTACAGGATCTTATGGTGAACATTCAAGGTGTCGCCGGAGCGTTTACGATTCCCGCAAGTTCTACGTCTTATGCTTTATGTACATATCCTTTTCTATCGTCAATCTGAATTTCATTCTATATTTTTTTCTGTGCTGTTTGTGGTGTTTGCAAGAGAACCCTTCCGAAAACAAGGAAATAGAAAAATTTCGGTCTCTGACAAGATGGAGGTTTGATCTCGGATCTGAGTACAACTTTGCAGAAAGAGACAAAAAGAAAACGTACCTCGTCCGTCCGCAGTTTCATTCCGTCGAGGATGTTCTGAATGGCTGATAATGCTGCCGGCCCATTGAGTTGTCCGAGAAAAGAGTTGAAACTCGTCGGGTCGTTTTTGTTACTGAGAGCCTCTATTGGGGATAAGAGCTTACCTTCCCCATCACCAGGTCATCCTGATTCCTGATACAAACCAGACGAGAAGGCTACCTAAATGTCGTGACACTTCGCTATTCGGTCTGCATTGGTCCATTTCAAAGCGATTTTCTAGAGCTGGACCTGGATGGAGAATGAGATCGCGACCTGACGAAGCCGAACGTATCTTTCAAAGATTGTCTCCTTGCCTTTTGGAACAGGTGTCCCTCGTCCTGACACATGACCTCGTCCAGAACCACGTCACCGGAAAAGTACTCCATGGCGTCGTAGTACATGTCCAGACGCTTGGTGGACTCGTCCACCATGGCCCGAAGGTTCCTCTGGACCATCTCCTGATCCGAGGCAGTGGGCGGTTTCAAGCATGACTTGACTGCGACTCCGCACGATGATGGGGGCACGGCGTCAGCACTATCGGGTCTTGCATAGCTCTCAATCTCGGTGACGGGACCCCAGCGGACGGTCTTTTTGGCGGGCGGGGCGTCATTCTCCTGGCTCTGGTCGTGGTTGTCGCTGTGTCCTTGGCCGTGCGACTGCACACGCTCAAGCGGATAACTGTGGTCTCTGTCAGCGTTGTAGCCGTGGCCGCGCGCGAAGGGGTCTGAGAACCGCCGCCGTCTGCGCGAACGACGTGGTGGTGGGGACAACGGTGGTGATTGGGGCCTTGGAGGCGAAGGTGAGCAGTCCATGATGACGATGAAGAGAAACAGGAGACGAGATAGACGAGACCTCATTGTAAAGCTAGGATTGGGGGAATGGGGAAAGCAGGAATTGTTGAGTTGTAGCTTGATTAGTTCGCTGCGCGGTTCCTCTGCTTTTATAATCATAGTTGGTCTGCTGAGCCTCTGATGTCTGGGACAGTGATATGAGACATACGTTGACTTGGAGTCTTGATAATGAGACTCGACGCCGGTTGAACAATGAGAACAAGGAAATCTGTGTAGATCTTCTTTGTCCTTGTCCTAGACACAATGCTTTGTGTGTGTCACCGACGGAGAGCTTGCTTTCTCCGAATCGTCGAGTCATGAAAGAGCAGCTATCCATGTTTGAAACTGTAGCGATGAGTCAAGGATAATAGGACTTGATTCATTCAGTAGTATCCCAGTTGCTAAACATAAGATGTACTCCGTGGTTCACAATGTATAATACAATCATCCCAGAGGGGACAGGTATCCAATCCAGACGGTACGAAAGAGGCACAAGAAGAGAAGACACATGGCTCTATACCACACCAGCCGTGCGACTTGCTTCTTCCTCGGCCTTCATCTCCCTCTCCAGTGCGGCAAAATCCCCCTGGAAAGCATGCTGCACTGGCTCCCTGCGAAGATCCCAGACATCCTCACTGCTCGGCCCTGTCTTGTACTTGACGGCCTTTTTCCGGTAGTGGTCCCGAATCACTTTCTTGCGCTCCTCGTCCGCCATTCCCCGGGCCTTCATGCACAGCCAGAAATTATCCCAGTGTTCGCTGCACGACCGCAGCTCGCCGTAGCGGTATACGTTCACAAACTGGCCTCCAAACGACTGACAGAAAAACGCGTAGTCAAAAGCAGAGCGGCAGGACATGGTATCGGGGTAAAGAGACTCGGGGGTGATCGAAGCTGGAGGTTGCGGAGGGCCCGACGGTGATGGTGATGATGGGGATAGGGAAGATTCCGCGACATTGGGCGACTGCTGCGGTGATTTTGTTCGTGATACGTCCGCCTTTAAGCTCTCCAGTAACTGATTGAACTCTGCATCCGCTTGTTCCTCGCGACTCAAGGGCCGAGACTGCGACGATGGCGTGGTGATGCCTGGGGTCTCTGCTGCGGGTGATGGCTGCGGCGCCGCATTGTTGGACAAAGAAGGCATAGAGGAGGTCGCTTGAGGTTCCTCCTTCGAGGGGGATGATCTCCAAAGCCAGCCCATTACGACGTTATCGTGTGCTGAGGGATTATGGGACGGAGAGATCTCTTTTGTCTTGTGAGTCGAGTTATCAACATCAATACATGAAAATATGAAGATTACCGCTGAGTACACATTTTAATGCAAAAAACGATCATCTTCGGAGGTGTAAATTTCGCAGCTCGTCCCGCAAAACGCGCTGTAACGGTAATTTCGAGCAACTCGTTGACATTTGTGTAATAAATGTTGTTACCAGCTGTATTGGCGTTACACGTGCAACCATCATCGACGTCATAAGAAGGGACCAAGCTTCCCCTCATAGAGATGTACCCTTGTATGTACATCATTCCACCCTGAACATCTTCTGCAACACTCTTCTCCAATCTTCGAAGAAGTATGTCATCGTCGCTACTATGATACGAACTCGAATCCCGGGTTTGGTACCGCGAATCTGCCAGACCCCTCTACCCTGCAAACCTCCTCCTACACAACTGACTCGAGTCCGCTATGCAAGATTGAGTACTTCACCTGCAGTGTCATGGCTCGAGACAGGACACATTGATCTGAAAGAAGATGAGGGACTCCTTTTTGTAAATAGTGAGGATCTTGCCTATCTTCCATGTCTCATCGCTACGCTTAACTCATTATTTTAAAAAATAGATATCTTTCCGTCAAAACTACAATGGCTGCTGCTGGGTCCGCTCAGTGGTATGCGGTCCTACGAGGAGACCGTGAAGCGCATCAACAGACCGCATTGGGCGGCATCGGATACTTTTCAGATCATCCAACGAGTGGTTCCAGAGAACCTCAATATCGAAGTTAAACAGGTCGTTCCGCGGTTCAGGGAAGGCGGCGCGTTTGTCAAGTACACCCGTCGAAGCAATGTCGACGACGCCGACATTGAAGCCTCTATCAAAGAGAATCTGAGAGAGCATCCCATTAGGCCTTGGTTCAATCCCTTTCAAGAAGTCAAAGTATCTCGGGTCATTGGAAGGCCTTGGATAGAAGATCTCTATCGCATTCCAAGCCCGCGCCTTAAGGTTGCGTTCCACCCTGTCTCTCCCGAAGCATCAGCGGCAGACCTGAGTACGGAGACTCTATATACTCTATTTCGTCCCTACGGGAAGATCAGAGACATAGATAAACAACCGTCAGACTCAAAGGTCACGCCCAGATACGCCTTTGTGGAATTTTCTCGGCCCATGTACGCTGGCATGGCGAAGAACTGTATGCACGGGTTCACTGTCCCAGAACAAGAGGGTGGCGGCAAATCTGGTACTCGGCTCAAGATCAAGTACGAACGGAAGATCAAGCTGTCCATGATCAAGGACTGGCTTTTGAGTCATCCCAGGATCGTGATTCCTGTGCTCGCCGCCCTCTTGGCCGCCATCACCGTCACCATCTTCGATCCAATGCGGACATTTTTCATCAAACTGAAAGTAAAGTCGACACTTCAGAAAGAAGAGGATGGTGCGATGCAATGGATCCGCAACCAGGTCAACAAAGCAAACATCATCTATTTTGGTCGCAAAGGGGCGGATCCTCGCGGGCTCACGGCCATATGGGAGGACCGTCAGGACGACATTACTCGACTGCAATCCTGGCTGATGGAGAACGTGGAAACTTTCATCGTTGTTCATGGACCCCGTGGCTCGGGCAAGCGGGAGCTTGTATTGGACCGGGCTCTGGTCAATTACAAATATAAGATAGTCATCGACTGTAAACAAATCCAAGACGCACGGGGTGACACTGCGAAAATTGCCAGGGCAGCCAGTCAGGTAGGCTACCGGCCGGTTTTCTCATGGATGAACAGCATCAGCAGCTTTATCGATCTCGCGGCACAGGGGATGATTGGAACCAAGGCAGGGTTCTCGGAGACGCTGGACGCCCAGCTGAGCAACATCTGGCAAAACACGGCTACCGCTCTGAAGAAAGTGACCTTGGAGCACAGAAAGAAAAATGACAAGGACTCGCATTTGACCGATGAAGAGTATCTTGAGGCTCATCCCGAGCTTCGCCCAGTGGTGATAATCGACAACTACCTGCACAATGCTTCCGAGAACAGCGTCGTGTACGACAAGATCACCGAGTGGGCCGCTAGCCTGACGGCCGGAAACATTGCTCACGTCATATTTCTGACGACCGATGTCTCGTACGCCAAACCTTTGAGCAAAGCTTTGCCCAATTCGGTTTTCCGCACAATTACCCTGGGTGACTGTTCTCTGGAGGTCGGCAGGAAGTTTGTTCTGAATCACTTGGCATATGAGACAAAGGATGGGAACACTCAACCACGACGGGCTGAAGAGCTGGAGGACCTAGACGCCTGCATTCAGATTTTGGGAGGCAGGGTGACAGATCTTGAATTCATGGCACACCGTATTGAGGCAGGAGAGACACCGCGAGGTACGTCAAGAGTACCGGCCATGCTCTATGATCGATTACTAACATAAGCTCAAGGCGCTGTCAACCGCATTATTGAACAGTCGGCATCTGAAATTCTCAAGATGTTCCTTTTGACCCCGGAGACTATCGAGCAGTCGTGGACCCACGAACAGGCTTGGTATCTGATCAAAAGGCTCGCAGAGTCCAAAGACGGTGCTTTGTCATACAATGAAGTTGTTCTCTCCGATCTCTTCAAAGAGAATGGCGAGATCACCCTTCGCGCTCTCGAGCACGCCGAACTCATTTCAATCGCCTCCATCAACGGCTGCCCCCAGACAATCCGACCTGGAAAGCCCGTTCTTCGCGCAGCCTTCAAGCAGGTCACTGAGAACAAAGCCTTGAGCAGTCGCATGGACCTTGCAATCATATCACAGATGATCAACAAAGAGAATAAGAGCATTGGGAAATACGAGGAAGAACTCAGCCTGCTAGGGTCTCTGCCTAAGCAGCCGCGGGAACTCACAGCCAGGATCCAATGGTTGCTCAACAAAGTGTACAGTTCGCAAAACAAGATTGCGAAATATGAGAAAGAAAGCGCATTTCTGCAGAAGATTCTTCGAAGCGAGCATTGATTTTGATGATGTATGAGTCGTGTCCACGGGTATGTCCTATGATGTAATGATGTATACGGAGTATATACTATATCAATGGAGTCAGATTCAGATTCTAAATCCGCTCGAGCGTAGCTGGTTGAAACATAGTGAAGCATCTCATGATAGCACTTTGAGTGTTTGACCCTAACAAAGGAGGAAGCTACCTAACTACAAATAAACTGCTGAGTAAGCGGCCAGTGTAAAATTACGGTTCCCATGCTTACACAATCTTGTGGATGGCAAGAATCGGGATATCTGCTTTCTTGTGTCTTTGGTAGATTAATTATTGAAATGTTTCTTGCCATCTTGAAATTGTATTGTTCTTTTTATTAAGTAACTCTGCTTCCAACATAGAAACAGTGGTTTTTTTGCCTACTTGACCATTTCTGTTGGTTTGTCTTCATATGTCTGTTACACCTCTCTTAGTCTTTCAGCATTCCCTCCATTGCCAGTTTCCCCTTTACAGCTTCTGTTCGGTTTCATCGGATGGGGATCATGGGAAAACATAGGTTAACCCCAAGTAGCTTGCTACAGTTGTCTATGGACGATGGCCGAGAGTTGATATGGCCGACCTTGCTGGCTCTTCTGCTCTTCTCATGTCTCGCTACCCGCGTCATTACTGGCCTCAAAAGCTGGCCTAGTAAGAAAACAGATGCAGGACTCCCAAGATCAGTAAGGGTGGTCCCCTACTGGCTTCCATGGTTGGGACATAGCATTCCCTTTGGCTGGGATCATATCAAATTTGTTCGAAGGACAAGGTTCGTGCTTATGTT